TATTGAAGAACTAAGAGGTGAAAGTGTTAGCTGCTCAGTCATGTCTGACTCTTTGAGACCCCATGGACTGTAGCCCAGCAGGCTCCTCTCTCCGTAGAATTCTCCTGGCAAAGATACCAAGAGGTGATGAATCTGAAAAGGAGCACAGCCCCTCAGCCTCACGATGTGCGAGGCTGCAGATATCAGAGGGCCCCGCCACCTGGTTCCAACTCCACCTCAGAGCGGCAGCTCCCGTCCACTGCTGTGCATTTTGTTCGCACTGTTCTCCTTCGGGACCTGAGAAACTTTGCTTGCAGTCTAAGCATGGATTTGAGCGGCTCACGGGGCGAGGGGCGAGAGGCGAGGGGTGAGGGGGCTGGGGGCGGTGGTGGTGGCCTGGGATCCAACTTGGCCATCAGCTTCAAACGACCTGGTCAATCCAGGTGACCCGGCTCTCCGCCCAGATCGAGCTCTTTGTTTGCGGGTGAGGCTGGTGGAGGGGTGCCCCCCAGCTGCGGTGGTGGGCCCGCATTGTCAGCTTGTTGCTTCTTTCCCCAAAGAGGATCTGGTTACAAAGAGGAGCTGGAAATGTCTTTGCACACAAGCAGAGACATGGCGGCCCTGCAAAGGCCCCAGGGTAAGGATTAAAGAAAAACAAAACAGAAACCCTTCCATCTCTAATTAGGGTCTTCATTTGCCAAAGTGCCATTCCCCAGCAGGAGAATTTACATTCAGGCCGTTGCTTGGAGTTACTTGGAAAACGTCTCCCAGCAGGTTGGTTCCTCGGCTCGGGCGCCTTTGAGCCAACAGTTTCTGGTTACTTGGAGGGGAGCTGCCTGCATATTGTTTTAACTGGCCTGGCTTCAGCAGCCAGCTTAGCTGTGTGAACAATCTCCCATTCAGAATCTGAAGATAAAAGCACAGTTTGGGAATTATAGGTTCTGGAACTGGCACTATTTCTCTCATACACAAGCGTGTTTTCCCCTCCACCTTGGTCCCCCGCCAGCAAAGGCTACATCCTGGAGTGCCGCCAGCCGCCAGCCCCCACTTCCTCGCCGTTCCCTCCGTGGGGCCGGTGGCAGCCGGCCACAGAGGCCAACAGGAGCTCCCCGTTAGCGAGAGGTCGACCGCAGAGCAGTGTGGCCAGTCTGCTGGACCCCTGCGGCCGGCCTCCGAACGGCCTCGGAGCTTTCTGTGTGGTTCCGTATCATTCTTTGCATCCACAACAGAGCATCTTCCAACACAGCGAGTGGAGAGCCCGGCCTAGGAAGCAAAAAGTTCTCTTCCTTTCTGGAACTCTCAGGACAACAGTAAATTCTAAACTGAGACTAAGGAGTAGGATGTGTTTGCATAACTTTCTACGTGTAAGAAAAATGTTAGCTGACGATGAATTAAGGAACAAGTGCAAAAGAGAGAAGAGATATCAAAAGCACAAGGCCACAAATGGAAAAAGAAAAGAGAGAATCTGGATCTCAACTCAGTTAAAAAATGGGCAAAGGACTTGAACAGTCCTTCTCCAAAGCAGATATACAAATAGCCAATAAGTACAAGAAAAGGTGAGCAACATCACTAATCACTGCATGTGTGTGTGAGTGCTAGGTCACTTTGGTTGTGTCCAACTCTATGCGACCCCATGAACTGTTACCAGGCTCCTCTGTCCATGGCATTCTCCAGGCAAGAATACTGGAGTGGGTTGCCGTGCATTCCTCCAGGAGATCTTCCTGAGCCAGGGATCAAACTCACGTCTCCTACATCTCCTGCATTGGCATGCAGGTTCTTTACCACTTGGGAAGCCCTCACTAATCATTAGGAAAATGCAAATCAAAATCACAATGAAAAAATCACCTCACACCCCTAAAGATGACTAAGAGAAAACAAAACACAAGAAGCGTTGACAGGATGTGGAGAAAACTGAACCCCTGTTCATGACTGGTGGGAATGCAAAATGGGGCAACTGTTGTGGAGAATGGTGTGGTGGTCCCTCAGAGAGTTAGGCATGGAATTACCATATGTCCAGCATTTCTGTTTCTGGGTATAGACCCAAAAGAACTGAAAGTAGGGTCTTGAAGAGACATTTGTATATCTGTGTTCATAGTAACATTATTCACAGCAGCTGAAAGATGGAAACACCCCAATTGTCCATTGAGCGATGAATGCATAAACAAACGTGTGCACATACAGATATTACTCAACCGTAAAAAGGAAAGAAATTCTGGTACGTGCTACAACACGGATGCACCTTGAAGACATTATGCTAAGTAAAAAGCATATGAAAGGACAAACATTACTTGACCTAACTTACGTGAGGCACCTGGAGGAGTCAAATTCACAGAGACAGAAAGGAGAATGGTAGCTGCCAGGGAGAGGCCAGGGAGAGGGATGGATGGGGAGCTGGTGTTTAAAGGGTACAGAGCCTCAGCTAGAGAAAAGGAGAAAGTTCTGAGACAGACAGTGGTGATGGTCGCACAAAGTGTGAAAGTGCTTCTGGCCACAGAACTGTACACTTGAAAATGCTTAAAATGATAACAGTGTTAGTCGCTCAGCCGTGTCCGACTCTCTGTGACCATATGGACTGTAGGCCGCCAGGCTTCTCTGTCCATGGGATTCTCTAGGAAAGAATACTAGAGTGGATAGCCTTTCCCTTCTCCAGGGGATCGTCCTAAATCAGGGATTGAAGCCGGGTCTCTTGCATTGCAGGCAGATTCTTCACCATCTGAGCCACTAGGGAAACTCCATATATACATACAGAACCACAAAGTAGAGAGAAGATTCAGGGTAAAAAGAATAAATGCCACAGGGAAGGGAAATTAGAGCCCCTGTTTGTGTTTCGCGTTGGCCGGGCAGGTTCTACCAAGTACCACTTTAGTTCAGTCATGTAAAAATCCTCTTGGAGTCTACATTTTTAAGACCTCTGAGTTGTATTCCTCTATTTTACTTAAACTGCCACAGAGCAGCAATTTACAGCAGCATCATAGGAATGTCCAAAGTGGGATTCTGCGTCTAGGCCTAAGCACTCCCAGTTCCCTCCACCGTGTCCTCTTTTGCACACCACTTGACATGCTCCCTGGAGATGCCCTCCCCACCAAACGGCTCTTCTGTCCATTAAAACCACGAGGCCCGGTCCAGTCGCTCTCTCTGACCACCCCACCCTGGGACACAGCAAGGGCTATTGCTATTCCTGCCGCCCCACTCCTGGAGTTTCCCTTCCTCCTGGAGTTTCTTACCCCAAGCCCAACCATCCTTGAGAGTTCAGTTTCCCCTCTTCCAGAAGCCTTTGCTTGCAAACACACCACAGGTCCAGAAAGACGTTTAAGAGAAAGTGATGCATGAGCAAAGACCTGAAGGAGTTGGTCCTGAGGCTCTCTGTGATGGCCTTGCGGTGCCCAGAGGGTGACTGGAGCTGGACACCCTGAAGCTGCCTGCTGAAGGTTGAGGGACCAGGGCAACAAGGGCAAAGGAGTGCGTGGGAAGCTGTAGTTCTGAGATTCCAGGTAAATTTTACATCCCTGTACATATCCACACCTTCAATCACAGATCCTGGCCCAATAACTGAACAGACCTCCTTGGTAACAAAAAAGATTAACTGGCTCCCTAGATTATCACAGCCACAGAATGCAGACAAACCACAGAACTGGACCTGGAGAATCAGTTTCGAGTGGTGAGAGACATCTAAGTTTCCCAATCCTTCTATGAAAGCTGCCAAGAAGGTCACTGGCATTTTTTGTTGTTGCTTGGTCACTCACTAAGTCATGTCTGACTCTTTGCGACCCCATGGACTGCAGCACACCAGGCTTCCCTGTCCTTCACCATCTCCCGGAGCTTGCTCAAACTCATGTTCATTGAGTTGGTGATGCCATTCAACCATCTCATCCTCTTCTCGCCCCAAGGGGTGAAAACCCAACCACCTTCTTCTGAAGAATGGCTAAATTCAAGACAAGAGCCATCACCTGTGTGGTCTCCGCCTGCTGTCCCACACCCGTCTCACTGAGTTCTGTCCTGAGAACATACAGAAAGAAAACAGTCCTCATTGGTTCAGCCTTGTAGTGCTACGTCCACGTCAGACAGGCCTGGCCCTGGGGAGAAGGGCGAGGCAGAAAACCCAACAGGTTCAAGTGAATCAGGACTCCTCTCTTTCCTAGTTTCTTCAAATCACATGACCAACATCCTAACAGGGCCAGAGTAAATCATCACACCACATTAACTTCTGTGTGTCAAGGTGGATCAATAATCTTGAGAGAGTTGGCTCAGAACCTGGATCACCCCGTAGCACATGTGGGTAATCAGCAACCCCCAGACCCCACGGCCAGACCCTGAACAGATCCTGGTCTCCTGTTCCCACTGGTGAGGATACGGTTTGGGGCACGTATTCTGCCCACCAAACAGGACGTGGTGAGAATGACGCTCTTGGATATAGAGAGCTTGTGCCATCATCGTATGTTCCAGCCTCATCATCTGAGCATGCGAGAGAGGGGCCATTTGGGCAGCTTTGTAAAAAGGAACGAAATTGAGTTTTCATAGAAAGGGTAAATGAGCAAGAGAAAAGGAGGACGTGTGATCAAAGTATTATAAAAGGCAGGTGGTTCAGTGGTAAAGACTCTGCCTGCCAATGCAGGCGACACAGGAGATGCAGGTTGGATCTCTGGGTCGGGAAGATCCCCTGGAAGAGGAAATGGCAACCCACTCCAGTGTTCTTGCCTGGAGAATCCCATGGACAGAGGTGCCTGGTGGGCTACAGTCCATGGGGTCACAAAGAGTCGGACGTGACAGTGCAGCTGAGCACCCACACATGCAAAGCCAGGTAGCAAATTAACAGCTGGAGAGACATCCAGTTTCCCACAAGCCTCTAGTTCAGGAAGCCCAAGGCAGAAATTAACATTTGGGCTCCGAGGGGAGGGGGCAGGCTTGATATCTGAAAGGTGAGTTCTCAGGGGACATTTCATCTTTTAATTCTGGCAACACCGTCCAGCAGCCCTCCCAGATCATTGACACTGCCTCTGTCTCTACAAATGATGTGAGAGGCTCCACTCCTCTGTGTGATTCAACAAAGAGCGAAGACAAAAGTCAAGCCGGGAGGCGGGACAGGGTGACTGCTCCGCATCTATAGTCTTGGAGAAGTGAGCAGGTACCACCGGGACCACCCTGGCTCCTGGGACACGAAGCAGGGCCATCTACATTGATTCCATTCTCCACTGACCCTAAAGACACAGGTCTAGCAGAGGAAGTCACCCACGACCTGCCGGTCCCACCACCTGCTGGTCCCACGACCTTCCTCAATCCAGCCTCCTTTCCCTTGCCCTCTCCTGCCCCAAAGGAGGCCACTTTTCCAACTGTAAGGGGCTCGGGCTTTGTTCTTTCCTTCAGTTTCCAAAAGGCTCCCCAAACTCTCACCAACCTGTGATCTCTGCATCCCATCCAAGCCTACCGGGGCATGCGAGACTCGCACATGCGCACACACGCGACCCGCACAGCCACTCTGGGCGGAGGGGAGGCTTCCCTCTGGGCGGGCAGCGGGGGTCAGAGGCCTGGCTCGGAGGAGCCGCTCATTGTGTGGCCGCCTGGGGCAGGCAGCGTGAGCGCCCGGAGGGGAAAGGTTCCCTTTGAAGCACATGGCGCGGAGCGCTTCCCAGTGACCATGGAAACAGGCGCAGTGGGTTCCCAGCCTGAGAACCAGGGAGAGCAGCCTCGATTCAAACGTCAAACACGCACGGGGGTCTGAAAAGCGGAGGCGGGAGGGGCAGGCGGCCCGCGGGGGCTGGCAGGAACTGAGCGGCTCCCTGGTAGGAGAATCTGGCCAGTGAAGCCAAGCAGGTTCACGGGGTTTCCTTTTCATTCCCGAGGCTTTCTTCTCGCTCCCGTCACTGCCCCTCGGGTCCCATTCAGCACCTCATCAGATCAGTAGAGCCGGCCCTTTGGCTGGCCTGCTGGCGGCGGGGCCTGGAACCGGGAGGGAGGTGATCAAAGGAGCCGCCCCGTGCTCCCACCTCCCTCCTCCCGCCCTCCTCGGATGAGGCCCTGCCAAGGTGATCCAGTGGAAGCCGCCGGGCTGGGGGTGCGGGGCAAGGAAGAGAGGCAGCTTTCATGTCTGCTGTTCTCTTCGCAGAAGAGACATAAGGCATGGTTTGAACGGAGGAGACACACCACTGGCAGGTCAGAGCTACCTCCTTCAAGGATGTCTCTGCTCTTAAACCAGGAGACCCAAAAGCCACCTAGACTGATACGCTCGGGGTGCACCTGGATGCCGCTCCCCGCCCCCTGCCCATCATCCTCGCCCCGCTGAGACTTGTTCCTTCTGGGTCCTCTTTCATAGCTGTCCACCTCCCAACCCTCGAGAGGGATGATGTTACACTGAACAAGTTATCTGCGATGCTATGCCCCATCTCTTCAGGGTTCCAATTTAAACTGGGAGGTGGGGGTAGGGGAGGGGGAGAAATCTATCTGTGATTTTTTTTTTCCCCCAGCAAGAAAGAGGAAGTGATGTGATTAGAATCTGTTAAAGAGGAAAGATCTCGCCCTTACTGATGAGTATCTGTTCTCTCGGGTGGGACTGAATCAAAGTCCAACATCATCCTGCTGGGCACAGGGCCAGGGCCAGTGAGAGAAGCGAGCCCACTTCTCAGCCGGGCCTTGTGGCCGCCACGGAGCAGGGCAGGCTTTGGCCCTGACCAGCGGCTCCTGGGGAAGGTGGTGTTTGGACAGGCCTGTAATTTGAAAGGCCCATTAGGTACCTTCTCCCTTTCTTACCTTTGTTGGGCTGCCAAAACATTTACTTGACTTCTTAACTCTAAATCTCTGAAACACACCTGCATTGCCTAAAACAGGCAATTTTCTTAGTTTCTCTCATTTGGAGAAGAAAGCCCAACCTAAGCAGAGATGACAATACACAGAGGGATAAAGAGGGTGGGGGCCTGGGAAGAGATGCGGCTTTATATAACACCAGCTTCCTAACAGAATACAATGCTTAAGAGATGGGTGCATACTGCATTTGTCTTTAATTTTTTTTTGAGGGGGTGTTTAGTTTTCAGGGCAGTGAGCATAGTTGAAAGCAATTCTACAAAAGGTAATCCTTTTGCAAAACAAACTGATTGTATTTTGACTTTTAGGGGAAGAGTCCGTTTCCATGTCAAGTAAACATTCTGTGTGGTAGCCTACTGCATCCAGTCATCCATCCATCCATCTAACATACTCGTGATAGAAAAGCCAACTGCACTGTAATACAAGCAGAGGAACTGAAGACTGTATAACAGGAAAACTGGGGTGCATAAACAACAAATAATATTTTCAGGGTCTTAGATGCATTTCAGATGCCATAAATGACATGTGCATGTCTGCTCAGTCAAGTCCAACTCATGGACTGTAGTTTAACAGGCTCCTCTGTCCATGGGGATTCTCCAGGCAAGAATACTGGAGTGGGTTGCCATGCCCTCCTCCAGGGGATCTTCCCAACCCAGGGACTGAACCCAGGTCTCCTACATTGGCAAGTGGGTGCTTTACCACTGGGAGACACCAGGGAAGCCCTATAAATGACACAAATAACTGCAAAAAGTGTTTTTTTCCCCCCTTTTCTCAGGGCTTCCAAACTCATGAAAAGAACTTAGGAAAAGAGCCTCATGTCTAGCAAGTGAGAAGCCTCTGCACCACCGGTTCCCACTGCCATGTGCGTCTGTCTGTCAGCTCTGGTTTCGGCCAGGGACTTTCTGAAGCACATGCTTGCCAAGGCTGAGTGGTCTGAAGTGAGGCCTTGCTGACCAGCGGTGGTTACGGCCAGAACTCAGAGGAAGGCCCCCGCACTGCCCGGGCTCTTGGGAGGACATCGATGACTCTCGACCCCAAAGACACCTACACCCTCTCTGTAGAACACCTAGGGAGTTCTTTTCACAGTGCCGGTGCTCAACGGCAAAACCTTTTAAGAGAAAAATTGTTTTGGAAAGATTTTTCAAGATCCTGAATGTTCTAAAATGGGACTTGTGAGCTGCTGTCTTCTCAAAGGCACTAACAGCACAATGCAGGTGGGCGCCTCGCTGACAGCTGTCACTCGCCTGCATCCTTCCTGTAGCATTTCAAAACTGGCTCTTCCTTTCCCTTTGTTTTGGTAGACTGTCTTGTCTTCTCTACTTAAGCCTGACAGAATATAACCTTAAGCCTGAGAAATCGGGTCCTTGAGTCTGGTCAGGGGGGGCACCTGCATTCATAGTCATCTGCTGGGGTTCTGGGAAGTGGCAGGCCCGTGTTTCCTGGCCCTCTGTTAGGTTTAAGCTTCTTGCAGGGGAAAGAGGGTAAATTCTTTATTACAAATCCCAGAAGGGCCTGAAATGTACGACCAGTAAGGACAACTAGTGGGTCTCTGAAAGAGAGAGCTTCCCTTCTTGTGATAAACCATAATGGAAAAGAATGTGAAGAGGAATATATATGTGCGTAATTCATCACTTGGCTATACAGCAGAAATTTACACAACATTGTAAATCAACTATACTTCGATAAAATTAAAAAAAAAAAGAATGAGCTTTCCAATGATTTTTTAGGCATGATACTAAAAGAAAATATCAATCAACTGGACTCTGCTGAAATTTAAGCTTTTCTGCTCCAAAGGACACTGTCAACAAAGTGAAAGAAAACCCCCAGTATAGGAGAAAATATTTGCAAATCGTATATCTGATAAGGGACAGGTATCGAGGATATATGAAGAACTCTTAGGATCTGAATAGCTATTCATATTTCTTCAAAGGTATGCAAACTTTCAATAAGCACATAGAAAAGATGGATAAATCATTATCCAACAGGGAAATGCAAAGCAAAACCACAATGAGATACTACTTCAGACCCAGTTGGACGGCTGTAATCAAAAAGACAGATAATAACAAGTGTTGGCTAGGATTTGGAGGAATCATACACTGCTGGCAGTAGTGTAGAACGTGCGGCCCCTTGGGAAAATAGTTTGGTAGCTCCTCAAAGGCTAAACAGTTATCATATGACCCAACAATTCCACTCTTAGTTACCTACCCAAGATAGATGAAAACCGATACCTACACAAGATCAGGCACACAAATGTTCATAGGAGCATCACTCTTAGTAACCCAAAAGTAGAAACAATCTAAATGTACACTGACAGATAAACAAACAGTGAACACACACAATGAACTATTATTTGGCAATAAAAAGAAATGATGTGCTGACAGCTTACTGCCACATGGATGAAACTTGAAGACATCATGCTGAGCAAAAAAGAAACAGATACAGAAGTTCACGCTCTACATGAGTCCATGTGTAAGGAATGTCCGGGATGGAGGGGCGATGTCGGCTCAGTGGTACATGGTTTCCTTCTGGGTTGATAAAAATGTCCAGACATCTGATAAGGCACTTGTATCCATAATACATAAAGAATACGAAAATACTAACATTGATAGAGAGTGATGGTAGCCCAATTCTGTGAATATACTAAAATCCACTGTGTCTGCATGCATGTGTGCTCAGTCATGTCTGACTCTTTGCAGCCCCATGGACTGTAACCCACTAGGCTCCTCTGTTCATGGGATTTCCCAGGCAGTAATATTGGAGCAAGTTACCATTTCCTTCTCCAAAGGATCTTCCTGACCCAGAGATCGAACCCATGTCCCTTGAATCTCCTGCACTGGCAGGTGACTCTTTACCACTGAGCCACCTGGAAAGCCCCAGAAAACCACTCTATACCTAGATAAAAAGAAGCCTTTGTGTGGGAACAACCTGATCAGTCATTTCTATTTCTGTGTAGAGTCCAATCATCTGAAAACTTATTTCTTGAACAGAAATGGGTAGAAAAGTTTTGGTACTGGAAAGATCTTGGGCATTTCAAAGTTGAAATAGGCTTGATTGGCAGTTGGTTTTAACCACAATATACACTTCCTAGTAAAACTTATATATGTGTGCTGAAATGGAGTGAAACTTGGATATGATGATGAACAGATTCTGAAAGCAGCTCCCCACGCTGACAGAGTTGGGGCAGGGCTATGATAGACTTAGGGCTTTTCTGGTGGTTCAGATGGTAAAGAATCTTCCTGCAACGCAGGAGACCTGGGTTCAATCCCAGGGTGGGGAAGATCCCCTGGAGGAGGGAATGGCAACCCACTCCAATATTCTTGCCTGGAGAATTTCGTGGACAGAGGAGCCTGACGGGCTACAGTTCAAGGGGTTGCAAAGAGCTGGACATGACTGAGTGACTAACACTTTCATACCTTCATGATATACTTACTGAGTGGGAGAGGATGAGGTGTAATCAGAATTCCCTGGTCTAAAGAATAGCAACAGCAGGCCTGTGCTTTGTTGATTTACCAATGGATTAATTCTTTTAAATGTTTCTGTAAGCAGGACTTCCCCGGCAGTCCAGAGGTTAAGACTCTGCACTTCCACTAAAGGGGGAGTGGGTTCGATCCCTTAGTAACTAATTCCATATGCTGCATAGTGTGGCCAAAATTAAGTAACTAAATAAATTTGCCAAAAAAAAAAAAAAAAAGTGTTTGCAAACAAGCATATTTTACTTAACTCGGGAACTATGTTCTAAAACAACAAAAATTAAAACAGTGTTATTGGCCCTAAAAGGAATACAGAATCTGACAGTAGATAACGCTGTCTGCTATAGGTTTCAGTAGGACAGAATATGTTATCTTTTTAAAGAGGAATATACATAAAACAAAGGAAATGACAACTTTAAGAAAGGGAGAGACTCTACTTAGCCACTCCCTAATGTTACACATCAAAATTAATTGAGTGATTTAAGGATGTAATATATAAAAAGAAAAACAGTGATAACAGAAACAGTAGAAAAGGCAAAATGATTCTAAGCTTGCAAGGGAGGGGAGAAAATAATTAAAAGCAATAGAAGAAATCATGAAGGAGTGATGACTATGTAAAAACTTTAAACTTCTGAGTGCCAAGAAAGCTAAGTTTAAAAACTTAGCCAGTTTAAAAACATTCCAAACAAGAAATTAATACATTGCTATAAAAAAAATAACCTACATTAAGATATACCCACAAATGAGCAAGCGGCCAGAGTAGACAATTCACAAGAGAGGAAATTTAATTAGTAGATGGAAAGATGCTTGGCACTTAATGCTTGCTGATAATCGAAGAAATGCAAAGGAAACAATGAAGTACTATTTTTACCTTTCTAATCAGTAAAGAAACATATTAACTGTAACGGTGAATGTTAGCATTTGTTTCTGTGGAAAATGGTTCACACTTACTTCACTAGTGGCAAGGTAAACTGAGGGAACTTTCCTGAAAAGCAATTTGCAACTGTTTGCAGCAAGAATGATTAAAAATTGTTTATGTCCTTTGATCTATGATCTGCTCCTGGAATATTACCATGAGAGAGTAATTCAAAGAGAAAAAAAAAAAAAAAACCCTGAATGTCCATTTTACATGAAAAAAGGTTTCAGTGTGGCTTCTTTGTGAGGATTAAAAATAAAACAGAAGCAACCTAATTACTTGACCCTAGGGGTCAACTCCATCATGGCATGTTCTACTGTCATGTTATGCAGCCAATGAAATGACAGGTTACAAAAATAACAGCAAACTGGTCAAATGACTAGCACGTGTTATTAGCTTTTAGGCAGAATAATGATGCACACCTTCATAATAATTACATTAAAACTCAGACTTGGATTCCCTGGAAGACTGGGAGGGAATACACCAAGACTGACAGTACTTGAATTAAAGGAGTAAAATGAAAGTCGGATTTTCCCCTTTGCTTCCCCCCCCTTTGGTTTTTAAATAATCCATAACTAATTGTTTCATGCAACAAATATCTACCAAGTGCCCAATATATGTCCTAGGCACTGTTCTTGGCACTAGGAATATAGGATTGTGTAAAATTATTATATTGCTTTTAAAAAAAAGCAAAGGACCAGAAAATTGTTGGTTATATAAACAGTACTTGGAGCTTCCACTGCAAGGGCAGGGGTCCCACATGCCACAGGGCACTCGAGACCCCTTTATCCAGCCCCTTAATCCAACTTTACGGCCAAAAGCAAACCAAAAACAAACAATTTACTATGTTTACAAACAGATTTAAAAAAAATTTTGAAGCTAACCGCTTTAAAATTTGATTTCTAAGGATTGAGCCAAAATAACAAAGGTTCCTAGCAAATTCCATATTCTTTTCTCTGAGATTCATTTAAGAGTTGATACTTGTGAAATGGGCTTCCCAGGTGGCACTAGTGGGTAAAGAACCTGGCTGCCAATGCAGGAGACGTTGAGATGCGGGTTCGGTTCCTGGGTTGGGAAGATCCCCTGGAGAAGGGCATGGCAATTCACTCCAGTGTTCTTGCCTGAGAATCCCATGGACAGAGGAGCCTGGTGGGCTGCAGTCCTTAGGGTTGCACAGAGTCGGACACGACTAAAAAGCGACTTAACGCGCAGCACGCTTGTGCAGATCCATCGGCAATGGGGTAAAGTGTGACGGGGAAGGCTGCGTGCCTCATGAGCTTCCCTGTGGCGCGGACGGTAAAGAATCTGCCTGCGATGCGGAAGACCCAGGTTCGTATCCCTGGGTCGGGAAGATCCCCTGGAGAAGGGGATGGCTGCTCACTCTAGTATTCTTGTCTGGAGAATCCCATGGGCAGATGAGGAAACATAGCCCAAGATTTTCAGGCAGACTAGAAATTATTTTATCCAGCAGTGCTTAGAACTACTGGAATGTGTCGGTACTCTTTAATATTTTCATAACCAGCAAAAATGAGACAGGTTTTAAAGGGTTTCCGTATCCCAGTTGTTAAGACTGCCTCAAACAGCACAACACATATTAGACTACAGGACCTGAAGTCTGATTTGGAAATTAAGATCACCAAAGCAGAATGCTACCTTCTATCAGATGAAATACAGTGCTTTCTATACAGGGAATGAACTCGAAAGACAATGAGGCAGAGAAATGGCTTCTGTCCACAGCTAGCAGACAAATCTGGCCAGCATCCCTGCTCCTCCGCGTCTGTTCCCAGTGGGACTCTCTGCCCAGCCTGGGCTGAGAGGGAACGAGAACAGAGAGTAGATGGAGCCTCGGGGCTGGTCTCCAGGTGTGAGAGAGGCAGGTCGCCCGGCTTGGGACTGTCTCTATAGACATTACCATGACTTACTGTGCTAGGTTCTGACTTCATTTATCATTCAGCATGGCCTCTCAAAAGTAGACAAAGTCATCAGCTACTTTTAAAAATGTATTTATTTGTTTGTTTATTTTTGGCTGCACTGGGTCTTCATGGCTGCACGTGGCATCTAGAGCCCAGGCTCAATGGTTGCCCCGAGACAGGTGGGATCTCCCCGGACCAGGCATCGAACCAGTGTCCCCTGCACTGGCAGGTGGATTCTTTACCACTGGACCACTGGGGAAGCCCCATTAGCTACTTTTGATGATCTTTCCTGCTGGCCTGTCACACCAGCCCCAGTTTCCTAGGACAGCCTTGCTTGTGGCCTCTGCTCTATTGAGAGCCTGGTTCACTTGGAGGGGACAGTGGCCAGAGGAGTGCTGTGAGCCAGGCTTCCCCCGGTCCAGGGAGGTGGCCAGCAGCCTCAGACCACCAGAAACATTATTTTGTTTTATTC